CCCAGCTCCAGCTGCCATTTGACCTTGTAGCTGCCTGAATCTGGCCTGGAGCGCTGCTTGAGATAGAGATGACCGCAAAGAAAGCCCATAAAATAGCCGCCCAGATTGGTATAAAAGGGCGGATATATCTGGTAAAAGGTCGCCGCATTGCGAAAGTACAAATATCGATAGGTTCTGTGGAGAAAAAAACAACATACATAGAGTGGAGGAGTTAAAGCTGTTGAGAAGACTTACTCCGGCCTCATGTGATAGACGGCGTCCAGCTTGAGGTAATAGGTCAAGAGTGCGGGCACAGCAAATATCGAGATTGTCAGCAATATATAGATAAATCTGGTCAGTCCGGGATGCCTGCAAGAAGGCATTAACAGTTGCTCAGCCAATATATTATCTAGATAACTCACTTCTTAGTCAAGATGATGACAATCAGAAAGAGCTCGAAGAGCTGCATATCTGCGGCCATATACCAGGTCTGTTGGGCACACTGCAAAAAAAAAACTACACTCAGAGAAAATCTTCTTAACTTCAGCATGGCTCCTACTTAAGTTAAAGGTAGACCACAAGGTTAAGAAATTAGAAAAGCCTGGAATTAAGATCAAAACAAAAAGCAAGCACAAATTTGCTTAGATTTGGGGTTAAATCTAAAAGGTAGCGTATCTACTGGTCGAGTTTAGACCTAAGTACCTAAACTCTCCTGCAGGTCTTGATTTGGGTAGGGTATCTACTAGTCGTATCTATAGCTAATAGCATACTCTCCTGCAGGTCTTGACTAGGGTAGGGTATCTACTAGTCGTGTCTATAGCTAAGTATCTACACTCTCCTGCAGGTCTTGATTGGGGTAGGGTATCTACTAGTCGAGTCTAGACCTAAGTACCTAAACTCTCCTGCAGGTCTTGATTAGGGTAGGGTATCTGCCAGTGGTTATCCTCCTGCAGGTCTTGATTTGGTAGTGTATTTGCTAGTCGTGTCTCTCGTGCAAGTCTTTTTTAGGGTAGGTTATCTGCTAGTCGTGTCTGTAGCTAAGTACCTAGATTCTCCTGCAGGTCTTGACTAGGGTAGGGTATCTGCTAGTCGTGTCTATAGCTACCTACACTCTCCTGCAGGTCTTGATTGGGGTAGGGTATCTACTAGTCGTGTCTATAGCTAGCTTTCTACACTCTCCTGCAGGTCTTGATTTGGGTAGGATATTTGCTAGTCGTGTCTATAGCTAAGTACCTACACTCTCCTGCAGGTCTTGATTGGGGTAGGGTATCTGCTCGTCGTGTCTCTCCTGCATTTCTTCATTTGGGTAGGGTATCTGCTAGTCGTGTCTATAGCTAAGTACCTACACTCTCCTGCAGCATATAGTTGTTGATGAATATGATATTCTTCCACCAGCTCTCGCGGCAAAATATCCTTTCCGCCTCGGTCAGATGCCGCCAGAAGGGTCCATCGCCAAGTCTGCTCAGGATGCTGCCGTTGAAGACAATGATCAAGGACAGCGACGGCAGCATCCTTAAATATCTGCTGAGAAAGACACTGAAGTAGGCCCGGATGCAGTCGAAAGTGCTCGAGCTGCTGCTGATCCACTTTCGCTCCGTAAAGTTGATGTAGAGCAGAAAGGCGCTCATCACAAAAAAGATTTGGATGAAGACGTTGCCGTTCTGGAATATCGAGGCCTCGAATCTGTAAAGGAACTGCTCGAAGAACTCGGGATTCTGCAGCTGCACGGACATGAAGATCATCAGAGTGTGTCCCAGCACGACGACAAAGACCCCAATCACACGGAACGCGTCAAAGAAACGCAAATCCTTGCCGCAGACGCTGCTCGAGGGCAGCACGAGGCGATAATAGTTGCGGCACAGCGAAAAGGAGCACCAATATCTCTCAGCTGTTGGGATTCGGATGGGAACTTAATGCGGACCAACTGTTGGATGCCACATACCACGTGTCCTTAGGCGCTGCTGATAGAAGAGATTGCCACGCGCCGTGGCGGGCAGCGGCTGCTGCCGCTTCAGTCGAAAGTCGTAGAAGGAGGAGAACATGGTGCACAGCAGGAGCAGAGCGAGCAGCACATATACGGTCAGGTCCAGTGCATCTTAAGGGAGCAGCAGCACATGAAGGTGAAGAGTAGGTAAGAGTAAGAGTAAGAGCAGTGAGAGAATTGGAGAGAGAGAGAGAGAGAAAGAGAAAGGGAGAGACAGAGAGGGGGGGCGAAAGTGGAAGGGAGTAATAGAGAGAGAGAGAGTAAGTTACACAACTTTATAACACTTATATCCACAGCACGCTAGTCTAACTTGCATTAATGAGAATCGCATAGAAGGGCGAACATACGTTTTGTGACTCATTCGCAGCGCAGAGAGTATATTATAGTGAAACGAAGCGCAGGAATGAAGTTTACACAACTTTTTAAACGAAGACTTATCATAGCACGGAAGTCCGCTTGTATCACTTGATTGCATGAGAATCGCATAGAAAGGCGATAATATGTTTCTTGCGTTATTTGCCAATAAGGCATAAATTATAGTGAAACTAAGCGCAGAGATAAAGTTTTCATAAAAGAACACTAATAGGAACAGAATGAAAGCGCGCTTGTCCCACTTGATTTTATGACAATCGCATGTAAGGGCGATAATATCGGTAATTATTTTGAGCAAATTATAGAGAGCCTAAGTGCAGATAATGTCAACACAAGTCTATAAAATCAAAATTATAATCCCAGAATGAAAGCCGGCTTGTCTCACTTGATTGCATGAGAATCGCATAGAAAGGCGATAATATGTTTCTTGCCTCATTTGCCAATAAGGCATAAATTATAGTGAAACTAAGCGCAGAGATAAATTGTACGTGAAAGAACGCTTATAGGAACAGCATGAAAGCGCGCTTGTCCCACTTGATTTCATGAGAAGCGCATAGAAGGGCGCCTTTTTCAATTGCCGCGCAAGGTGTTTACGTTAATACCGGGGTTATTTCTCTCGAAACGAGGCCAGGAAAACCTTTGAAGTTTTCACGAAAACTGTTTTATTTTTATTTACCATGTTCCAGTGGCTCATCAGCCCGTTCGCAGTACTCGATGCTGCTGCGCAGCCGCAATTGATATTTGCGTGCAAACTCCTTGTTGAGGCAGCTGTTGACCAGATGATCGTAACGCAGTCGCTCATCGGAGTCTCTCTTGTGCACCCGCGCATAGTAGCTGCTTAGCTGGCAGAGTGAGGCAGACTTAAGCCCAATCTTGGCTTAACGAACTGAAAGTACAACTTACCTCCGTGTCCGTCACGCGGCCCTCGTACAGCTGCTGTATCTGAAACCTGCTGAGAGTGTGCAGCTCGCGCCTGCAGCGCTCCAGGCAGACGCCGACAAACAGATGATCGTGCATAAAGCGATGCTTCTCGTCCCGGGACAGCAGCTCGATCTGCTGCCAGAGCGCGGAGCTGGCATTGGGCACCAGCTCCGCGTAGACCAGGCAGTAGATGCTGGGCGCCTGCTGCTCCACGCACAGATCGTAGTCGTCCAGCTGGTGCATGGGCGGCATTTGCTTGTAGAGCGTCACTGAGAAGCCGGGATCGGAATCGGAATCGGGATCGGGATTAGGTATAACTAAATCAGCTCTCGGCAGCTGCTCGACTCACAATTAAATCGCGCATACGTCACGTTGGCCCAGCCAGAACGAGAACGAAGCGTGAGCAGCAGCAGCAGGAAAACAAAATTTAGCGACTGCATCTTGACTTGCGTTTAAAGATCTACTGTCGCATTTTGTGTGTACATTTGCACTTTATTAAATCGCGGAGTTGCGTGCCAGAAGGCGGCGCTTCAATGGTTTTAGTAAATGCATTTTCGATAAGGTCGCGACGAATCAATCAAAATGCGATATCACATAAGTCTAGAGTTCGGGAGTTGTGTAATCGTCAAATGTTTAAACTTTGTCATTAGGTAAAGCTATTTCACAGCACAAATTTATTTATATAAATAGCAGGCAATTTTTATTCAAAGTAAAAATTGAAATCAGTGTTTCGCCCATTTTCCACACAGGCAGGTGGAATTGTATGAAGTCCGCTTGAAATTAATTTTTAAAAGGAACGTTACAAAATCAGATTATACTTTTCACATACATCACAAAAGCTAAGTACCTTGTTATATTAAGCTTTATAGCTCTTACGGTTTAAGCATTGCGATTGACATCAATCAATCAATCAGAACAATTCATATATTTTCGACACATGTGGAAGGAATTTCACAAAACTCTGTCTAAGTTTTCACTTACATCATAAAAGCTAACAACTGTAAAAAATGTAGCTTGATCATCCATCAATCAATCAATCAGTCAATCAGAACAAACAGTTCAATAAACCTTACGCAAATTGAAATCTCTATTTGAAGGAGCTTGAAAATACATTTAAAATATAGAAAAGAACTTCGAATTATGTTTGAAGCGGATTGGCAAACATATCAAAAATGTTCAGACAAAAGATTTTCATCAATTTTCCACACATGCGGAAAGAATTTTCCAATAACACCGTCTTAGTTTTAATTAACAACCTTAAAGCTAACAACTGTCCAAAATTTAGCTTCGTAAATCTTAACGTTTAGCCAGGGCATTGATCATCAATCAATCAATCAATCAATCAGAACAAATAGCTTAATGTTTATTGATTTAAAGTAAGTTTATTTCATTTAAATGTTGCTTGACTTAAAATTAATTGTCACATTTCAGCCCAAATGTTTGCCGGCAAAGAGCAGCAGATCGCTCTGGGACTTGATAAAGTAGGCAAACGGATGTGTGGCAAGGAATTTCTTACGCCGGAATGCCAATACGGGCATGATGCGAAAAACTGTGGACAAGCCATAAAATGCCATCAAATATATATCTTTATATACATATATTTTTTTTTTTATTATTATACACCTAACATGCTGGATTAGTAGAAAAAAGATTTTTAGTACAATAAATTGTCAGCGCGTGCAGTCTTTAAAGAATGTTGTTTCTATTTTTGTGGCCCGCATAGTTCGGGGGCGCTTTAAACTCTCAAGAGCTTGCCGGCAAAGAGCACCGCGCCCTGCCTATTAACTATGTAATAAATAAATGGATGCTCGGCATGGAAACGTATCGGCTCCGGCTGGAACATGGGCATCGATGCAAAGCACATGACCATAGCTAAAAAAAAAAACAAAACAAACAATGGAAGACAAGAACGCAACAAACACGATTAAAAATAGTCCAAAATGATGGGAGACAAAGTTAGACCACAATAATGAAATGATCATGAGAAAGAAACAACACAAGATGAAGTTTTTTTTTATAGATTTGCATAGTTGTAATCCCATGTTAAAATAATATAGTTTTTATGGCATGTCTTTAAACTGTTGCAATTTGCCGGCAAAGAGCGTCGCATTCTGTTGATTGTTAATAAAATATAGGAATGGATGGACTGCAGCAAAATGGATGGGCTCCGGCTCAGCCATCAGCGAATCACAGTACATGAGCATGGCTAAAGGATTGGGAGACAATGCAGATTATTAGAAATGCGCCAGGAACAGGGATTGAATAATGAATAAATGAGAAGCAGTTGATGCAAGAGAAGGTCAGACAAAGCCAGAAATACTCTTTTGCTGGAGAAGGAATATTAATATAAGAAAGTAAATTCTGTAAACAAGTAATTTCTGCCTAATGAAGCTGATTCATTCTTATTAAAAAGAAGAAATATTTAAGAATGAAAATACATTTAAGAATAAAAGAAATCATATTCCTATTTAAAAGAGCTTGCTTTCCTAGTGCAATGAGCAATGAGTAATGACTAATGACTAATGAGCAATGACTGATGACTGATGACTAATGACTAATGACTAATGACTAATGACTAATGACTAATGAGTAAATGTGTAATGGAAGAAAGAAAGAACTCTTTTAATTGAAAGATCAAATGTGATTGCTCCCAAATTGACGCTTGAGCTAATGATTAAAGGGCGGGTACTTCAAATATAGATCTAATTTATGACAAAGCCATAACGCCCATTGTCCAGCTAACATGATTCATTAGCTTTAATCTCAATTGGTTTTTTCTGGAACTTTATTGTAAAAATATCGTGAAAATAGTTTTTTCAAGTTAGTGCAAAGTTAAATTTAAATTTTGTGCTGTTAGATAAGAAAATATAATTAGTTGTTATCAATTTTCAAAACTGTTGCAATTTGCCAACAAAGAGCGTCGCATTCTGTTCATTGACAATATAATAGAGAAACGGACGATCTGCCTCAAAGTAGCTGGGCTCCGGCTCAATTAATAGCATTTCACAGCTTACGACCATGGCTGAGGGGAATGAAAGACAAACACAGATGATTAGAGATGAGCTGAACTTGAATTAAGTTAGTTACAGATGAAATGTTTTTTAAACAAAGCTAAAGAGCAGAGAAAACCAAAAACCGAGCTAAGCTAGAAGGAATTGCTTTAAGCTATTTAATGTAAATCTATACTCTGTATTCTTATAAAGGGTTAATAGGATTAATTAAAATGTTCAATCCAACCAAACGACACATAAATACTTATACTAAAAGCTGCCTTTTATTGCTTATAAGAAAGAATACCCGTAAGATGTGTGCTAAAGCTCGTCGTGTGCCCCGCCGGATGCCGCCTCGAGCCGGACAACGGCGCCCATGAAGAGCGGCAGATGCTGCTCATGGGCCAGGACATAGATGAATGGATGATCGGCATGGAACTGGAGCGGCTGCTCGAGCGATATGAGGCTCCGTTTCTTGCGCACAACGGCGGCTAACAATGACAAACAGAGAAACCGAGAGAGAGAGAGAGAGAGAGAGACAAATTGTACAACAAGGACAACAATAAATATGGCATGCACCGCAATGATGATAATGGATGATTCCCTTGGAGAAATGGAGACGGCGCTTACCCGTGGCTGCAGCCGCCTCGGTGCCCAGCTCGTTGACATCGATGAAGGCCTTGTGTATAATCGCGGACACCTTCAGCGACTCCGGACTCTTCAGCATCTTGGAGAAGTTGGCCTTGTCGGAGAACAGCCGCGACATGCCCAGCTGGAAGAGATTTGGGTTTGTTTAGGTCAAAAGTCTTTTAGAGGCAACCGAACTCGACTTACCTGCTGGAAGGCGGGCGTCAGCTCCACCTGAAACTCGGCCTTGAACTTGGGCAGCTTGACCACCACCTGGCTGCTGTGCAGCTGATCCGTGATCTGTGCGAGTGGCGTGGTGCGCAGCTTCTCCTCCAGCTGTGCTAGGCCCGTTTTGCTGTTGGGCAACACAATCAGCATGGACAGATCCGAGTCCTTGTAGGGCAGCTCCAGCGCAGCGGCATCTAGATCGGGCAGGCTGGCATAGCGGAAGCGTTCCTTTAGATTCATCATGGGCACATCGACGCCATCGACTTCGTTCAAATGGAAGCGTTCGTTGCGGGTCGCATGCACCGGAAACTGATGCACCCAGTTGCCCTTGAAGTGTATCGCATTGATCAGCACCAGACGCGTCTGTGCGTCCAAGAGACTGGCCGGCACGAGATCCTTGATCAAACTGTTCGTCTGCTGCTCCACCCAGGAATTGATGGTGCCCGCCGCCTGCGCATTGCGCGCAAAGTCCACATTCTCGGCGGCCGAGAGAAACTGTTTGGCGAGCAGTGAATTGAATTCGTCGGCCAGCTCGTAGTCCTTCATCACGTAGATCTTGTTGGCAATGCGCAGAATGGAGCTCTTCTCGTACGCCGCGAGCACCTGATGAAAGCTCTCGGCTATTTTGCTGACATCGCTGGACACCAATCCGAGGCCACGGTCCAGCTCGTCGGCGGTCTCGCCGACGGCGCCCAGGCGGGCCATTGCCGCGCAGGTCTGTATGGAGAACGGCGAGAAGACGACGTTCGTGTTGGGCTTCAGTGCGATCAGTTTGCCGTACATATTCACGGAGAAGTTGGCCAGCCGGCGCGAAAACTCGGCCACATTGTTTGCACCATCATTTCCCATGGCGTTGGAGCTGGAGGGGGTCGTGGTCGGGTTGAGGTGCTGGGCAAGTTGCGTTGGCGCCTGGAGTAGCAGCAGCAGCAGCAGCAGCGAGAGCGTCACACGGACTGAAAAGAAACTGTGTTAGTATTGAGCGGCAATAAAAACTGTGAATGATATCATAAATTTATGTAATTCCCGTTGAATGAGTCACCTCGTCGAATGTTAATCAGTTTGTCGCGTTGTTTAGCCGTCTTGTTTGTTGCTCAAACTAAATACTTGTGTAAGAATGCGTTGTTTATGCTTGTTGTCGGCTTTCTCCAATGAGTTTTGTTTTCTTTTTATTTGCTTGCTTTCTTTTCGCTCGCAATGCGCATTAAATGGCGCTCTGTTCTGCTTGCACGGGCGTCTGAACGTCAACTGAATGCTGGCGCTCGCTGCGCAGTTGTTTTTACACGCCAACCACATGCACATGTATGCGTGCGTATGCGTGCGCTTGCAGTCGCATATCCACTTAACTGGCTTGCTCTCTATATCGTCTCTCTCTTTGAGTTTCTGTGCGCAACGCGCTCTTAAGTGTGCCCACATATGAAAAAGTCAGATCTCTCGCTCTCTCGCACTCTTTAACGCCCACTCTTTTGCTCTTTTGCTGGGGGGCGCTTATCAGCTGTTAATTGTTTTTCTTTTGGCTTACCGTCTAATTGCAAAAGTCGCTGCATTTGGCTTGCTAATTTTTGGTATTTATCAGCAAAACTTTATGATTTATAACAAATGAACACAACCGTTAAACTAGCTTTGCGAACAGCCACGACAAAAGTGCGATTCAAACTGACAGACAATTTGTTCAAAATTTTGATTTGCCTTCGCTGCTTCCCGGCTTATCAGCAGTTCTGAGTGAAAATCAGACACATTCACTGCGGCTCAAGACGCATAGTAAGTAAATATATAAGTAAATATAAATACATATTTATACATAGGAAAGTATGATAAGCCTGAACTAGTCAGATTAAACATAATTTTTAGCAAGTTTTGTTCAGTATTATCTTTTGGTTGCTCATAAAGACAAACAGGCCACATCAAATTGGGTGCTATCAAAATAAAAGAGCAACTTATCAGCTCGAAATTTTGCTCTTCCTGCTCGAAGAGAGTTTGCCAGGCTGCTGGCTGCTCTCTTTGGCCCCCATATGTAATGTCAATAAATGAATTTGCTTGAAACTTCTGGAACCAAATCCGTTAATAGTTTACTTTTATAGATGACTGTCAGTGGCATTTGCAGCATTGCGAATTTATGGCTAGAAGAGGCTCGAAGGCAGCCACGCGGTCTGCTCTTTCTCTTACTCAGTGTGTCTACAATTTATTATTCATAATTTATCTTATCTCTTATAACTGAGAATACTTGCGGTCTGACTCACGCCAGGCGTTAGTCTGCTCCATACACTCGGTTAAATCGGTTGGTTTTGTTATTATCATTTCAAATGTCACTTTCAATATCTTGTCGAGATTTTCAAGTATTTCCTCGCTAATCTTTTGGAAATTTATAAATACTAGCTGGTGTCAACTTTCTTTTGACTGTGATTTTCTGTCAAGTTTCAACAGTTTAGTTATATTGAAAAAAAAAAATAAAATCAGTTTTAAGCAATGACTACGCGCGGAGTCGAACCCGGTACCCCCTGACTTCGAGTTGAGCTCTCTTCCTCTTAGCCAAAAGCTAGTGTGGGGAGTTTAACCCATTTGGAGCTCGAACTCGATTTTCGAACTCGACTTTCGATACTCTCCCTTAATTTAGTTGCTTTGAGTTACCTGTTATTCCTGACTAAAAATCCGTTTGATTTCCTACAGTTCTCGTTCTGTGCTGCGGAATATGAGCGCTTGCCAGGATACTTACAATGACTTTGCCAGGGACCTGTACGATGTGGCCACCAGGAACGATACCAGCCCGAGCTGTATACCAAGCACCAATGCAATTATCTCGCCCATCTCGATACAAACATCGCTGATGCTGGCCTTTGTGGGCGCGGCGGGCAGAACGGAGGATGAGCTGCGCACGGGTTTGAAGCTGGGACCCGGCGACCGGCAGGAGATCGCCAAGAGCTATCACGATTTCTGGACGCAGATGTGCAACTACGGCGCCAAGATGACACTGAAATCCGTGAATCGTCTCTTTGTCAACCACAAGCTGAAATTGCAGCAAGAATTCAAGGATCTATCCGAGGATTACTTCAAATCCCAGCCGGTGCCGGTGAATTTCGCAGACGCGAACGCGGCCACACAACAGATTAACGCCATCGTGGAGCAGGCGACGGAGAACAAAATCCGGGATCTGCTGCAGCCGGATGCGGTGAATGCCGCAACGAGCGCAATCTTGATAAATGCGCTCTATTTCAAGGGTTTGTTCCAGAAGCCCTTCACGCCCGAGTCGACAATGCTCGACGACTTCTATCTGGACGAGCAGGCGCGCATCGCGGTGGACATGATGTACCAGGAGGATAAGTTCAAATATGCGGAGCTGCCGGAGCTAAATGCCAGAGCCGTCGCCCTGCCCTACGAGGACTCGGACATAAGCCTGCTCATCCTGCTGCCCAACAAGATATGCGGCCTGCCGGAGCTGGAGCATCGGCTGGCCAATCTCAGCCTGGCCAACAACATTGACAGGCACATGCAAATGGAAGATGTGGAGATTGCTTTGCCCAAGTTCACAATTGAGTACGATCTGGATCTGAAGGATACGCTACAGCAGGTGGGCTATAGCTAAGCTAATTAAATGTGCCGCAAAACTCATGCGCTTCTCACACAGCTAGGCATCTCGGAGCTCTTCGGCGATGCGGCCAATCTGAGCCGCCTTTTCGAGGAGGCAACCGGGCAGAAAATCTCAGCGGCCAAGCATCGCGGCTACATCGATGTCAACGAGGCGGGCTCCGAGGCAGCCGCCGTCACATGTAGGTTCCCCATGGAGTACAGATAATCTAATTATTATTCCAATGATCTTTCCTCTTCCTCCCGCCCCTTTGCAGTTCTGAAGGTTGTGCCCATGAGTCTGAATATGCAGAAGAAAACCTTCAAGGTGGATCATCCCTTTATGTTCTTCATACGCAACAGCAAAGCCGTCTTCTTCGCTGGTCGCTTTGTGGCGCCCCTAAGGAAGGAGCTGCTCGTGCCCAGCCCAGCGCCCGGGGCCAGCGATTCCATGCGAAATCAGATGGAAGACACGAGTGTTGACTAGTGTTGACTAACGTTGTCTAGTGTTGACTAGTGCTGACTAGTGTTGACTTGTGTTGACTAGTGTTGACTAGTGTTGTCTAGTGTTGTCTAGTGTTGACTAGTGTGGACTAGTGTTGACAAGTGTGTGCGTTTGCGTGTTTTATCCTAAATTAGGTATTTCAACTTAAATGTATTAGACAACTATTTTGCTTGAAATATCACTTTAAACTAACTAATCTTTAGTCTCTTACTAAGCGGATTGCATTTTACGACTTAATCTTCCATTAATATTACAATTGGATCTTGTATCATTTTTCACCTATTTTCCACTCTTCTGTGTGGAATTGGATATTTACAAGCTTAGCAGCCAATTGGATCTAATAACGAAGGGCTGATTGCAAGCATTTTTCACCTATTTTCCACTCTTATGTTTGGAATTGGATATTTACAAAGTTTGCAGCGAATTGGATCCAAAAACGAATAGTTGCTTCTAACCACTTTTCACCCATTTTTCCACTCTTGTGTGTGGAATTTGATATTTACAAGGTTTGCAGCCAATTGGATCCAACAACGAATAGCTGCTTGCAAGCACTTTTCGCCTTTTTTCCACTCCCTTATGTGGAATTGTTCAAGGTAACGTTTGAGAGCTTACGCACGTCAACAAAGCTACAGTTTTTATTTATATCGACTATTTATAGTTTAACTAATTGCTTTTTATGTGTGTTTAGAGAGAATAGCGTGCCAATCGCATATAATTATTTATGACAATTATTCATGCACATTTTACTATCGAAACGCTGGTCATGCTTTGTTTATAAAAACTAGTTAATTGTTGCTCTGATAAGAGTCGACGTCGAATTGCTTCGTTTTCGATATAAAAAAAAAAACCCCAGAGATTAGCGTTTACTTCCTCTACAATCGGTTAAAGTCAACTATTGATAAATCGCAGTTCAATTTCTTGCACAAGCTCAACTCTGTGAGAAGCGAAGAGAGAAGCTGTCCGCCAAGCTGTTGGCCAGAAGAGAATTTGTTCGCGTTTCTGGCCATTTAGAGCTGTGGCGTATTTTTTTTATTTTATATATATAAATATTCTTTACCATATATGACTAGAAAAGCAGAAAAGCTTAAACTGGGCGCAAAGCTGGGATTTACCTCAACTATTATACTATCTGTCTTTTTTTTTAATGTACTTTATTTGAATAATTAGACAACAGCTGTCGGGTATTCACCCACAGAATTGTTTTTCGCGTTCAAAATAATGTCATTAAATGACATCATCTGAGGTCATCAGCAAAAAAGAGGTGGAAAAAAAAAGGAAAGAGAATTGAAGAGTATGAGACATGGCAGGCTGGGAGCGTTAATATATACTCTTAAATAAATGCTCTTTGTTTCTTTTAAGCAATTTATCAAATTTGACATTTGGCCAGAACCCAATTGAAAATTGATAAGAAGCTTATCATCTTAGAAAGCAAACGTATGTTAAAGGGGTAGGGGAAGGTTTCTCTGATGCCATCAAATATACATATAAATATATATATTTAAATATATATATATATATTCATGGTCAGAATCTAGAGCCTACTCCATTGAGCCACGCCCATGTGTCTGTCCATCTGTCTGTTTGTCTGTCAAAGTCTAGAATAGCTAGAGACTTAAAAGTAGAAAAGTATAACCTCATATTGCTCGCGCAGATTAGATTCATTTCAAATTATCGATAAGCTAAATCGATAAATATCGATTCTAACGCTACGAAGATAGGCTTAAATTCATTTAAAATTATCGATACCCACATCGATAAATATCGATTCATTTCAATTGGTCCATAGCTAAATATCGATGTTGACGCTATGAATATAAAATTAGATTTGACGATAAACAAATCGACAAATATCAATGTTGACGCTATGGAGATAAGGTAGTATTCATTTCAAATGATCGATAACTTAATCGATAATTATAGATTTTCGCCAAATTTCGTATTGTAGATTCCTTTTGAGTATACACAGATCCAGATTGAAGAGAAACAAATGGTAAGGAAATTAAGCTATTACTTTATAGTTATTAGAGGTCTTGGGCTTTACCAGAAATATTCATAAGAGATGGTCTATAAAGGAAGTTCATCAGGAATGTATTCCCCAACTGAAGAAGAAGCACAACAGCTTGCTTTAAATTTGGTATGCAAATCAATAGACTATAATTTCTGACAGAGCACAAGAGCAAACTTGCTGCAGGCAGCAAACACATCAAGAGCCTGGCCCCGGCTCGAGCGAAGGACAATCGCATCGCATCGCAGCCATCATTAAGGCTGAGCTGATTTTGGCAGGCGTCGGCGCCAGGTCGGCTATTAACCGGCGGCAACAAAGAGAGGGATAGCCGGGCAGCCGGGCAGCTTAAATTGAAAAACGTTAATCGCCTTTGGGCCCAAACATATCAGAGAGAGCTCAGCATCTGGATCTGCCTGCAACCGGAGCAACTGCGCCCACAAATGGGTTATGCCTGAAAGCCGATTGAAGTCCGAAAGCAAACGCCTTCGGCAGGCAGTCAGCGGCTGCAAAAGGATGTCAGATTGCAGTTGGCTGCCAGTTGACTTTTTAAGCCCAGAACTTAAGTTTGGTCACCTGCAATTTGGATTAAAGTGAACCCAACGCGCTGCTGCAAACTTGAAAGTTCGAGAAATTTCAACCTTGTTGACCTTTAGAGCGACGCCTTCAGATATTTATTGAGAACTGCGAATGAAGTTTCTCAAGTTGCGCTGAGCCACAACAACAGCAACTACAAAACTTCAAGTACACTCGGAGAAAAATAGGCGAATTACCTTTTGTGGCATGATTGAAAGAGCACAATGTACCAGAAAATCCTGTCTAGAATATCATGTCTAATACACTTTGCTCGGGAACAAACAAAAGTTAAGTGAAGTTAAGTTTCCTTTAAAGTTTGGTTTGGGATTTCCAACAGGAGAAATATTCTCAATTTGTGTTTATCATGTAAGAACCTACATACCAAGTTTGGTGTATCCAGCCTTAATAATCCTCGAGTTAAGTCTCATAATCGATATTTATCGATATCAGAACAATAGGAAGTTCTATACGAAATATTTCCAATCTGTGTAACTATAGGAGAACCTAACATACTAATGTATATGATATATCTAGCCTTAATAATCGTCTAGCTATGCTTAGAAAACAATTTCACATAATCAATATTTATCGATATTAATGGAAAGATCTGTGGAAAAGATGATGAGCTCGTTCTGCCTACTGTATACGAAATATTCCCAATTTACGTATACCCTAAGAGAACCTACACATCAAGTTTGGTGCATCTAGCCTTAACAATCCTCGAGTTATCCTGAAAAAAGCATATATCAAAATCGATATTTATCGATATTATACAAATGGGAAGAGCTATCGAAAATATGATAAGCTCGTTCTGCCTACTGTATACAAGAATATATCTTTATATAATTTATATAAATAATTTCTATATAAATAATATTTCTATATATACATAATTTCTAGAATTTAATGGAAGTACGAACTTTTTGGTTTGGGCTTAACTTTTCTTTTAGAGAATGTCATGCTTTTAAAAAGTGTGCAAAAGAAGAAATTTCAGCTTAGTTAAAGTAATTTCCAGATTGACTAGCTTGGTACATAATTTAAGTGCAACATACCTAGTTATTTCGCCAAGTGTAGAGCTAGTTGCCGCCGCTGACCTAATAAACATCTGTGGGCTAACCAAGTGGAAGCTAATAAATGCCTGCACTCGGCTGCGTCTTGGGCTGCATTCAATGTCAAGTGCAGCTCGTAAATTGCAGCACAACAGAAACATCCTGAAGGGGAGGAAGAAGAGCAGGAAGAAGCTGCTTTGATTGGTTTTAGTTGCACAATAGAAGCGCCTTGCAGTTGCAGTTGTTGGCACCGCGACAACTGAGGCTGATCGTTTGTTATGTCCCGAACGGGAAACGGGGAACTCGGGGCAGCTATAGTTTGGCAATGCCTTGGCCATCATCAGTCCCAATGGACCGGCCTTCGCTCATCGTCCTCACGTGTCCTGGCAACCAGCAGGCCATAAATCAAAGCTACTGCAACTATCAATCCACGACAGAGACGACCAGCAAAATAACTGCGAGTTGCACTGAGCAAATTTGAATGCCAGCGTTAAGTGGCCAATGCACAAGGCACACACTCACACACACACACACACACACACTAACACACGCAAAAACACACGAACACTCACTCAACAACATTTGGCCGGCCAATTTGCTGCAATCAGCATTTTTTAGTACCCTTGCCGAGGGCATGGTAAGTTTGACCGACAATGAGAATCACATAGAAGGGCACTTTAGATATATGCACACATTTTACTTGTTCAATATGAACAGCATAGTCAATATAGCCAAGACCGCCTAGCTGGCTGTCTGTTTTTAGTCTTGGCATAGATTCGTCTATTTGTTAAAGGTCGGAGTATATATAAAGACGCAAGGGTATAGCCCTATTCTACTTACGGTCTGTCTGTTTCTATATGAAGTGATTGCTCAAGTCTTAAGATATCTTAACTTTACACCCGCCGGATTGTATTACTATATCATATAATTGTCATAGGAACTATAGGTTGTTATCTGAATTATTTCTGCAAACTTAAGACCTTGCTGTTTTTTATGATACCCTAACTTAGCCATTTCGAGCTTTGCTTCTCCTGGTATAACATAAGTTTTTGGCAGAATAAATATAGACATGTCTTGCAAATCTTTCTAGTAGAGTATTTAATCTTCGCCACTTCGAAGACAATCGCTCTTGCTTGCTTTTGTGTAGGTTAAAGAGTTGCCCAAGCAGGCATTGATCAAATTCCGTTGTCTTGTGGGCAAGTGTTTTTTGCTGTTGCCTACTTTTTGGGGGGCAGCGCCTGTATAGGCTGACCGGCAGCAGGAATTTACTTGTGCATTGCTCATATTTGCATATCACAAACAGCTCTTAGTTTAATTTGACAAATGTTGAGCTTAGCTACGAGGCGGGTTTCAAGTGTGCCTGCGGCTGTTGGCGAAGTAAACAGTTCTAAC